TCTGTGTTCGGGACAACTTACTGCTGCGAGCAGTTCTTCTCAACACTCACCATCGAAGAGTCCACTGGGCTCCAGGCTGACCCCCCACCCTCCCACCCCCCCGCAAACCTGGAACACCAGCTGACGTCACAGCCTCACCAAAAAGCAGCAGCCCTCACACTGGGGGTGAGCTAATTCAGTGTTTGACCAAATATTGCAGGCTAATTAAGCTGATAACTTTGTGTGGCCCACGGACGATGTTATAAGTATCCAAATGGCCCTTGGTGGGGGGAAAAAAGCCCCCATTCCTGCTTTACGAGATCAGGGGGATTTCTAGCAGGCTCCCCTCTCCTGGAGGACAGAACCCCCACTATTTTTATAGCCAGATGTTATGCAGACTTCCCGCTGTGCTGCAGTGGGTTGGGGATCCCAGCATGAGGTTGAGATGCACCTTAGGAGGCGAGCTACCCTTCTGGGTTCTCATCCCCGCGTGGGGGTGTATGGAGCCAGCCCCCCGGGATTCGGTCCTTCTCAATCTCTGTGCGGCTCCTCTGTAGACTCCTGGTCATAATCATTCCGTTCCGCAAGCCTTCAGTGGGCTATTCAGACAGACGTCTCTACAATGGACTTGTGCATCCCTGTCGGCGCTGGGAGCGGGGGGGTGTCGCTTCCAGCTGCCCACAGCCGTCCTGGCTCCGTCTCGAAATGAGAAGGTTCAAGGCCACGGACTGAGTCCCAACGCAGGCTGACGTCACAGGTCAGTGGGCTGAGAAGTGCACTAGGAGGACGCTTCAGAGTGTCACTAAAAATGATTTTCACTCTTTAATGCAATGTTTCCCACTGCCTCGTGTTCTCTGGGGCACCCGTGAGCATCCTGACACCGTCCTGCTCGGGTCAGGCAGCACCCCAGGCTCTGGGACGACAAGTGGAGTCTCCCTGCCTGAGGAGTCGCCGCAGAAATGCCCAGTCGCAGGGACCTTGGCTGGGTTAGCACCACCTGCCTTGAGGGGGGACACAGCATTAATCCTGCTAAGTTACCACCCTGGCCGGTCCCTTCAGCCTCAGCACCTGCTGCAGGCCTGGTGCTCACAGACCTGACGCCGTCCGTCCGTCTGTGAGCAACTCGCTGTCCAACTTGCAGCCTCCAGGTTTGCTGGCGGGCCTTCTCCTGAAATTGTCTTAAATTCCCGGCTGGGGACACAGAGGCACCGACGGCTGGAGGGTCTTGGTGTCTCAAGGTCCCGAAGACTCCGTTTTAAACGAAAGCCACAGGAAGCGTTTTATTTCGCTCCCTGTTCTGTGCTGAGAAAGTGTGTTTACAGAGAGCGATGGGCCACCTGTGAAGGAGCCAAACGGCGGCTTTCAGAAAAGAGATCACACCCCGGAAGGCCCCTCAGATTCTCACTGATTTTGAAAGAGAGAAGAACACAGCGAGGGGCAGCCTGAGGGGACTCACGGAGCACGGCAAAGAATAAAAGGCATAATTCACGGGTCTCAGTGGAAAGGAGAGAAAAGACAGTGAGGTAGGTCTGCAGGGACCCAGCTGTGTGAAGAAGGCCCAACACCCACAGGGCGGACCTGGGGACAGAAAGGTCACAGCCGCCTGCCCACAGCCTTCCTCTGGGAGCTGAAACCCTCCTCCTCTAGCGCAACCGGACACGTCTGTGAAAATGCAGAATTTCCTCCCAGCGACAGAGGTTCCTCCCCAGCTGGCAAATGCCTTTATCATGAGCTCGGTGATTCAGACACTGCCTTTGTCTTGTCCTAGGAATTCAGGAGGAACCTGAGTCACCCTGCCAGGTGCGCACCCTCCTGGAATTCGGGTATAATCCACGCAGAAACCTGCCACCTGCAGGGCACTGCGTCCTCTGAATGTTCTTCCTAGACCCCAGGTGAAGGAAGGATGTTTGTCTTAAACATACGTGACAACCCACTAATTATTTTTAAAAAGCTGCAGAATGCAACGCCACGGGCTTCTCAGTGACATGGCAAACCTCCACTCATCCGTGGAGAAATTCTAACCGAGGTCTGCGTGCTAGGATTCTCGTTTCTTATTTTTAGAAAGATGCAGAACACCTAACCGTTGCCGATGGCTTCCGCAGTCAAACTTTAGCCTGTGAATGGCTTGAAAAAAATAAATACCCCTTCCCCACCTAGGAAATTTTTAAAGAAATATCCTGCATCACGTTACTTTAATAAACACGAATTGGTCGATTCTGTTCTTGGTTGTTTCTAGTAACAAATGTAAGTTGCGGTGATGCTGTCTCTTATGAGAGCAAATCTCTCTGAAGCCCCACTGATTTTACCTAAAAAGTGTTGCAAACATACTAGTAGGTACTGTTGGTGGTAGTCCTAGTATATAATATTTAGTGATGTCACCCAGCCGGTGTGGCTCAGTGGTTGAGCATCGACCCTGCACCAAGAGGTCGCCAGTTTGATTCCCGGTCAGGGCACATGCCCAGGTTGTGGGCCTGATCCCCAGTGGGGGGCGTGCAGGAGGCGGCCAGTCGATGTTCTCTCTCATCGATGTTGCCATCTCTCTCTCCCTCTCCCTTCCTCTCTCTCTAAAATCAATAAAAGAAAAAAAAAATTTTTTAAACTTCTCCCTCGAGAACCAATGCTAACTTCCCAATAGAATCTGATCTATATGGTGGTTGTCAGAGTTCAGCTGGGGTGGACATTCCCAGCGTGTGGCCCTCGGTCTCCAGTGTCCGTATATTTGCTCCCCCTGCTCCAAGCTTCCACAACTGTGCAGCTCAGCGGGTCACAACCCTGGGAGACTCCATGTCCAACCTGAAATCCCCCGTCCGAAGGCCATCACTGAGTCCGTCCTCGTCCCTAGAGAAGTTCTTCCTTCTCTGTGCTCAAGGAACAAGCTCATAGTCCTGACCTTGCTTTCTTCCACAGTTGGCCTCATCCGGACATGCGTGTCTGCAACCTTCTGTCTGCTAGACTATCAGACGCTTCATGGCCAAAGATTGTGTGTCATTCACCTCTGGTTTCTGTCCGCCCACCGCCATGATCATGAAGTCATCGCTTACTTTATTTATATCCAGATATAAATAAATAAACTGGCCCGGCGAGCTAAGATTCACGATACAGAAACTCGCAAGGAAAACTCACGGAGGTCATAGCAAACACCCAGGATCAGGTCGAGATGTTCAGAAGGCGTCCGGACCCCCCCAAACGCCGGCCTGCGGAACCACGGGCGCCGCACTTCGTTGCTGGTGGGAACCCAACATGGTGCGGGCACTTGGCAGGACGCTCGGTGGGTTTTGACAAAACTAAATAATCTTGCCCTACAATCTAGGTGGGTGGTTAAACCAACGGTGGTGCATCCAGACAAAGGGGTCTCATCCAGAACCGAAAAGAAACGAATCATCGACGCATGAGAAGACTTGGAGGAACCGTAGATGAATATCACTACGTAAAGGAAGCCGTCTGAACAGGCAACTTACTGTGCGATCGTCTAGAAAAGACAGTAAAAATGTGAAAGGTTTACAGAGGTCGGGATGGGGGACGGGTGGTACCCCAGAGATCATGCCGTTCCAGTGCACGCTTGTTCACACCCATGGCGTGGACAGCACTCAGGGCGAACCATCTGTAAACTTCGGACCTGGTGGCTGGCTATCCTGTGTCTGTGAAGGTTCATCGATGTGACCAGGGTAACCTCTGGCGGGGATGTCGATGGTGGAGGGATATAGGGAATCTCTGCCCTTTCCTCTTAATTTTGCTCTGAAACATTAAAAAATAATAATAAAGTTTTAATGAAAAGAAATGACTGCCTACAGAAATGTGTTAAATCTACCCAGGGTTCCTGGAGTCATCCCCCGCCCTGTTACTTAAACGCACATTTCGTACTTTCAAACCGCAGCTGGAGAGGATATTCCTCAGGTAGGAGACGCCCGCCGTGTCCTGGCGGGTGCGGCGGAAAGACGATGACGCCTACGTGTGTCCTTTTCCATCCTCACAGGTCATCCTAATGTGTGTCGAACTGACCACCCATGTTTGGTTCAAGGATATTTCTTGAAAACTATGAAGTCATGTCACTAATCAGGGGCAAAAATGAAGATGATGGGAACGGACCTTGGTTAGTGATAGAGGCGTTAAAGCTGTTGTCTCGTTTAACCTTCAAAATCACCCAGGGGCTTTATCTTCACTCTGCAAAATAAAACACGGGCAGGCAGAGGGCCTCAGAGATCATCACCTTGCTCAGGCTCAGGCGACTTCAAGCCCAGGTGTGACGCCCAAGTCGCTGTCTTCGACATCACACCACCTACCTCCAGGAAAACAGAAGAGTAGAAATCAAGTAGATACAATAGTCACGGTCAGTTAGGTAAGAATCAATGCTGTCTGCTCAGAGGAGATATTAAATAGACATGAGGACTATCTGAGCTGCATAGTTTAGGAATCACCCTTCGGTGAGTTTATTGCATTCATTTGTAAAAAATATTCGGAAGGTGATTAACTGCATCCATTCTTATGTTCGTAGGGCATTGAAACTCAGTGTGTATTGTGTAACAATGTTTCCGGTTACATGTTAGAGGTCATGGTTAAATACTTAATCTGGCTATGATGGTATTTAGGAAGACCTTTATATCATAATAAGACTAGCTTTTATTCTATCGAATGTTTAGTTTTACTTGGTATTTCTTCTATTTCTTATTTGATGTCGCCCCTCTGTTTCTCTTAGCATCATTTCAAGTAATTCAGGGTACGTGCCCACTGTAATGACCTAACTCCCCACCACCTTATATTAGAAAAGCAATATTTCCGTTATTTCTAACTTACTTGATATATCGAGTGCCACACAGATTATAACTTTGCACTTTCCTGTTTTGGTTTCACTCATTCTTCCGATCCATGCAAAGCACTTTCTCAGTATTTTGCACTGTCCAGTTAACTTGCCACTTTGAAGGAATGAGGACACAATTGCTCGTGATTAAAAGAACAGATGAGCTGTTTTCTAGGACGGTAATGCCTCCAAACAACTGAACAGTCAACACCCTTTTCCTTTTCAGCGGCGAGCGGCTGACAACTTGAGGAGACACCACCAGTACCAAGTGAGTTGCTCCCCTACTACCTCTTGCAATTGCATGAAAAGACAGTGCAGCCCCAGCACTAGAGAAGGAGGCGTGCTGATGCGCCGACTGTGCTGTCTCACCCCCAGGAGGTCATGAGGAACCTGGTGAAGCGCTATGTGGCTGCCATGATCAGAGACGCCAAGACCGAGGAGGGTCTGACAGAGGATAACTTCAAGGTGACTGTTTTCATTTTCATGACGAAGGTACCGAGAGGCAGACTCCGCACAGCACGGGACCCGGCACCGCGCACTGCAGATCAGGACTGGCCCTGGCTGGGGTGCTCGGTGGTTAGCAACAGCCGTGGCCTGAAGGGTCGCAGGCTCGAGCTTAGGATTTGGGTCAAGGGCACGTACCTAGGTTGCAGGTTCCATCCCTGGCCGGGTCGGGGTCACCCGGGAGGCAACCAATCCATGTCTCTCTGTCCCTCCCTCCCTTCCATTCTATCTAAAAATCAATGGAGAAATATCCTGCATTGATCTGCAAAAAAAAAAAAGAAAGAAAAGAAAATCAGAACTGGATACACAGCCGTGTGTCCCAGCAAGACGGTGTGTCTTCTGATGTTCTGAATGGAAGCAGCATTGAATTGTCCCACAAAGTGATGACGTTTCTTCTCACAATGCGTCGTCTTCAAACATCCTTAACCTGACCCGTCCAGGGGGCTGATGTGTGGGCAGAGGGGACCTAGAGCCGGGGCATTCCGACCTGCCTCTCCCAACAGTCCTGGACACTTCTCTCTGCCTCCTTCCTAACCCTGACACACTGAGTGACCAACATGATAAAACGATAACAAAGACCTCGTTTGTGCTTTGCCTGCTTTGGTGTCAGAACATTTTAGGCTTGAGCTCAATTGTAACCTATGCACCTAGTGCTTCTCCCTGAGTGTTCTTTGTATTGTATCAGAGGACTTGGTGAAATACATGAAGTATATAAATAAATATAAACATATACACATATATAAACATATGCACATATATAAACATATGCACACATATAAACATATGCACATCTATAAACATATGCACATCTATAAACATATGCACATCTATAAACATATGCACATCTATAAACATATGCACATCTATAAACGTGCACATCTATAAACATGTGCACATCTATAAACATATGCACATCTATAAACGTGCACATCTATAAACATATGCACATCTATAAACATATGCACATCTATAAACATATGCACATCTATAAACATATGCACATCTATAAACGTGCACATCTATAAACGTATGCACATCTATAAACGTATGCACATCTATAAACGTATGCACATCTATAAACATATGCACATCTATAAACATATGCACATCTATAAACATATGCACATCTATAAACATATGCACATCTATAAACGTGCACATCTATAAACGTATGCACATCTATAAACGTATGCACATCTATAAACGTATGCACATCTATAAACGTATGCACATCTATAAACGTGCACATCTATAAACATATGCACATCTATAAACATATGCACATCTATAAACATATGCACATCTATAAACATATGCACATCTATAAACGTGCACATCTATAAACGTATGCACATCTATAAACGTATGCACATCTATAAACGTATGCACATCTATAAACGTGCACATCTATAAACGTATGCACATCTATAAACGTATGCACATCTATAAACGTATGCACATCTATAAACATATGCACATCTATAAACGTGCACATCTATAAACGTATGCACATCTATAAACGTATGCACATCTATAAACGTATGCACATCTATAAACGTGCACATCTATAAACATATGCACATCTATAAACGTATGCACATCTATAAACGTATGCACATCTATAAACGTATGCACATCTATAAACATATGCACATCTATAAACATATGCACATCTATAAACGTGCACATCTATAAACATATGCACATCTATAAACATATGCACATCTATAAACATATGCACATCTATAAACGTGCACATCTATAAACATATGCACATCTATAAACGTATGCACATCTATAAACGTATGCACATCTATAAACGTATGCACATCTATAAACGTATGCACATCTATAAACATATGCACATCTATAAACATGCACATATATAAACATGCATATATATGAATGTATGCATATATAAACATATGCATATATATAAACATATGCACACATATAAACATATGCACATCTATAAACATATGCACATCTATAAACATATGCACATCTATAAACGTGCACATCTATAAACATATGCACATCTATAAACATATGCACATCTATAAACATATGCACATCTATAAACATATGCATATATATAAACATATGCACACATATAAACATATGCACATCTATAAACATATGCACATCTATAAACATGCACATATATAAACATGCATATATATGAATGTATGCATATATATAAACATACATGTATATGTACATATACATGCTCATAGCATGTTATTCTGCCTGAGTTCTCCCATATTTGGGGAGAATGGATGAAGTCAACACAATCTCATAGGCAAGCAAACGAAACCCTTCAGGAGACTGTCAACCCCGAAAAGCAGAAAGTCTGACAGAGAACAAAGGTGAGCAGCTGGTTCGCTGAGACGGCACAACCTCCATCTGGAGAACTGAAGCATGCGGAAAGTTGGTTGGCATCCAGAATGTTCTTTGTGGGCACGGCGTGCAAACTGCGGGATGAGATGATCCGTGGTGCTCTGGGGACAGGGTGGGGCGGGGCCCCCTCAGAGCCCACCGTCAGGACAGCGCTGAGAATCCAAAAGAGAAGGAATAGGATGAACCTCAGAAATGCTGTCGGACTGGGTGACGCAGTTGCAAGATTCAGGGAGTGGCTCAGACGCTTGGTCACATCAGCTTCTGGGAGAGTGCGGCCGATGCTGAGGGACAGGCCTCACTTCAGTTGCTTTGTTACACACGTCCCTTTGCACGGCCACAGATGCCCGTCTTGAGTTCCCTACAGCATGTACCCGTGCGAGTAGGGGGTGATTCGAAAGCAAATGAATACTCGAAGGGGAAGTATTTGAAATGCAGTTCCCCCCAAAACCCATGTTCTCCACGAGGCAGTGATGTCTCTGCCCAGTGAACCTGGGAAGTCTCCTGACCACGGCGGAGCTTGAAGGGGAGACAAGTGCAGGTCACAGTGACACAGGCACCAGGAAGGAAACGCAGTTCTAGACAGAAGCCCAGCAGAGGGGCCTGGCGGTGCGGCTCAGTGGCTGAGCGTCGACCCTGCACCAAGAGGTCGCGGGTTCGAGTCCCGGTCAGGGCACCTGCCCAGGGTGTGGGCTGGTCCCCAGTGGGGGGCGTGCAGGAGGGGGCCCATCATAATGTTTCTCTCTCTCTCTCCCTCTCCCTTCCTCTCTCTCTAAAATCAATAAAGACAAAGAAAATAAAAGTGAATGAAGACACCGCAACCCGCTTAGGAAACAAGCAAATGGTGTTTCCTCACGTTTCCCTGAGTCAGACACTAATCTCCCCGTTTACATCCCCCTCAGGAGCTGAAGCAGGACATCTCGAGCTTCCGCTTCGAGGTGCTGGGCTTGCTGAGAGGGGCCCAGCTGCCCGGGGTGCAGGCCGCGCCCCCCGCGCAGGACCCCGGCCCCTCGGCGCACCCGGCGGCCAAGGGCGACAGCGAAGGCGGCGGCCGGGACCGGAGGAAGAACTTCAGCCTCTTCGACCTGACCACGCTGATCCACCCGCGCTCGGCCGCGATCGCGGCGGACAGACACGGCCTCAGCAACGGCTCGGCCCTGGCGGCGCCCGCGCGCCCACGCGAGCGGCCCCGGAAGGCGCCCGCGGCCGACGTCCGGAACCTCGGGCTGTTCCACCGGCGCGCCCGGCCCAAGGCCGCCGAGCCGGGCGCGAACCACGTCTTCTCCGTCTCGGGGGAGGTCGCCGGTCGACAGGCCGAAGGGGCGCTGGACAGGCCCGCGCCGCTGGAGCCGCGCGCCTTGGCCTCCAGGGCCGACCTGGGCATCCCGGGGCTCAGCGAACAGTGCGTCCTGGTGGACCGCCGGGAGCGGAATCCCGACAGCCTGGGGGTGCCGGTGGCCCAGAGAATGTGTCCCTCCGAGGCAGAGACGGGGGTGGCGGGGGACGCGGTGCCCATCGTGCCCAAAGGGAAGCGCGCGAGGGGCGAGGACGCGCGTGCGGACCACGCCGCCTCCCTCCCCAGCGCCGCCGCCCACGAGGGGGACGTGACCACGCGATTGTGACATTGAAGGGACAAGCATTCGCCTCCACATATACTTTTCCCGCATTGTTCTGGGTTGTGGGGAGATTTTAAGAGTAAATTAGCAGCCCCGCTGGTGTGGCTCCGGGCTGAGCATCGACCCTGCACCAAGAGGGCGCGTTCCATCCGCGCTCAGGACACAGGCCCCGGTGCTGGGCTTGCTCCCCGGTGGGGGCTGCAGGAGGCGGCCTCTCTCTCTCTCTCTCCCGTCCTCTCTCTCTAAAACCAATAAAAACATGTTTTAAAAGAAAAAGTCAATTGGCCAATGCTAACTTCCACGCGATGGCATGATCGACTGCGACATCACAACGTGTAACATGCAAACAGCTTCCGAAAGCCCTGGTTTGGTGGCCACTTTCGCTTCCACAATTTGTTTTACCCTTTTTTTTTTTTTTTTCGGTTGCTGTCGTTTTAATAAAGAAGCTCACCTTGTATCTGGTCCTGTTGCAGTCACAGGGGATTTGCAGCTGTCTTTTCCGGTGACAACTAATTCAACTTCGTGGGATAGTTGACACCTAGGATAGATACTTTTTTTTTTTTCCTCACCCGAGGACATTTTTCCATTTTTTGTTCAGATAGAGCAGGAGGGAGAGAGAGGAAGAGAGAGAGAGAGAAACATCGACGTGAAGGGACACATCGAGTGGCTGCCACCCACACGACCAACCAGGGCCGGGGACAAACTGCAACCGAGGTACGTGCCCTTAGCGGGAACCGAACCCGGGTCTCTCTGGACCGCAGGCCGACGCTCCAACCGCTGAGCCAAACCGGCCAGGGGTAGAATAGATACTTTTATAGGCAAAAATTAATGTAGCTGGAATGGGGCAGCTTTTAATCGAACGTTAAGGTCTCTTGCGGTGGGGACTTGTCCGGGAATTTTCACTCAGCCCAACTTGAAAACACAAATATCAGCACATCGTTTGTTGAGAGCACACAAGTAACTAGAGTACGCAAGAAAAGCCAGGAACCCTTTCCCTGGGGTCATGATCAAACTTCCTTTAAAGTTCAAGTTGGGCCCTGGCAGGTGTGGCCCAGGCGGTTGGAGTGTGGTTCTCACACCAGGCGTCGGGGGGTTCGATTCCTGTCGGGGCACATACTGGGGTTGTGAGGGATGGACCCCGATGGCCTCCCGATCCCAGTCGCTGTTTTCCTCTCTCTCTCTCTCCCCTCCTCTCTCTAAATCCAATAAATGTATCCTTGGGTGAGGGATAAAACAATTTTTCTTTTTTTAAGGAAAGAAAGTCAATACACGTCACAGTTTTAGTCTGCCCAGCTTTTCTTTCAGAAAGTGAAATGTGTGCCTAATGAATTTGGACGACTGAATATTTCTAACAGTTCCGAAGTTTCACTTAAAGTTTTAGTTTTCGACGGCCCTTCTCACGTTCCGCTACGGATCAGAAAAATTGTGAGGCTTTATGAGTAGACCCGGATTTCGAAAAGGTGACAAAGCTGCTCAGTGCCAGGGAAGAATCACAGTCGACGAGAGATAAGCACCTTGGACAGAGCCAGGTGATCGCTCGCTCATAATTTCCAGGTGAGAATTAATTGTAGCAATCTTCAAGCCCATTAAATTCTGTCTTCAGGCCGTGCAACATTGTTGCCAGTTCTAGAGACATTAAGGAACCTAGCAGTTTCCTCTTCGTTTCTCCAGTGACCAGCACATGTGTTGGGGTCATTAAAATTAAAATTACCCCAACATAACTATTAATTGTAGCAGTCGATATGGAAATACAGTTTTCCCTGTGGGGACAACACACTCAATTGCTAGTTTCTTCTATTGTTCTCAAGACCGTTTAGCAATATTTAACTTCACTGTGGAACTACTAAAAACAAAGTGTTTTCAGCCGAAATCCCGACCACTTTAAGGTTTAATTTGTATAACTTGTGTCTATGTAAGCCACCATGGGAAAACAAGTTTCCTCACCAGATGCATGAGTGTTTATTTAAAGTCGACAGAAAAATGCTCCGTTCATTTTACTTCAAAAATCACCCCCACGGACTAGCCAAATTGTGTATGATTTATCATTAACCCAAAACTGCACAGCGTTACCAAACCCAGTTTCTGGTGACAACACATCAAAAATAAAGAGGAAACGCAGTCGCAATGCAAACCCGTTTCACCTGCTCTGCCTGTGTTAACACGCGGGGCCTGCTCACAACAGCTCTCTGAGGCCGCTGCTGTCCGCACCCCCGTTACAGATTAAGACAAGGAGGCAAATAATAACTAGGCGGGTTCACCGTATGTGCTGGGCCCAGCGAAAACATGTTCACATCACACTGCTGCAATTGCCCGGCCGGTGTGGCTCAGTGGTTGAGCGTCGCCCGTGGACTGAGAGGTCCGGGTTCGATTCCCGTCAGAGCACACGCCCGGGTGGTGGGCTCATCCCCAGTAGGGGGCGTGCAAGAGGCAGAGGGTCGATGTTTCTCTCTCATCAATGTTTCTCTCTCTCTCTCTTCCTTCCTCTCTCTCTAAAAAGTCAATAAAAAAATATTAAAATAATAATGATGATGATGCTGGGATTTAGATGAGTGAACAATTGTCCAGTGCCATCACTTTTTGGGTTATTACTGCCGCTCTGAAATGCTACGTTTTGCAAGACAATGAGGAAACTCCACAAACCTGGGACCCATTACAGTTAAAGATGTAATGTACGCGATTCTTTAGATTCGGTAATATTATACATTTTAAAACACATATGTGGTGTGGAACATTGGAATGCAACTTAAAATGTCCTATTTGGGTTTTCAGAAAATCAGGAGCACGTGGCACGCCTCATTCCCAAGTCTGTTCTGTCCCGTGGGTTTCAACATGAGTATTTTTCACTTTCATTTTTGCAGCCTTTTCTGTTTGTGTGATCTGTTCCCCAAAGTAAAGATCACACCCGTCGCCAGGACGTATGCTGTGCAGTGAAAACTCACGTATGTTCTGTTCCTTCCGACAACACCGACAACAGCGAGGTCAGCGTTTCTGTTTTGTTTTTTCCTCATAGCCTGTTTGTTTTCGGGGTTAGGGAAATGCTACTTCACCGGTGAACATGGGACCTTAGAGCAATTTATTTGGATCCAGTAACCACCCCAGACATTTATAAATTTAAACAAAGCGTGGGACAGTGTCAGTACCAGAAGTCTAGAACTGAGTGGTATTCTGAATATGTAGTGATATTCGTTAGCAGTAAGGAAGGGAGACAGTAGGGAGAGAATAAGGAAACGTAAAAAATGCAGGGCTGCCGGCTAAAAGGTGGTGTTTTGGAGATAATGTACCTAAGCAGCCGGGGGCTTCTTTCCACTTACATTCAGGTTCCTGCCCACAGAGAGTCCTGAGCACTCGGAGAGGTTGGACCTCACACCTGCATCTGTGTGGAGCGTCCTGTGCTTCACACCATTTGATCACGCTGCCCTTCGCGTTGTAATTAATTAATTGATTGATTTACTTATTGCCAGGGTTGTTGGGTGGGGGTGTGCCTGGGAAATTCTGTTTCATTTTAATAGAATTAAGTGAACGTCACATAAGCACTTCATTTATCAGTTAGCCCAAAGGAATGGACAAGAAGGAACACTGTAAAGATGTACCTCACGGTGTGTGGTAGATGTTTTCCTGAAAATATCCATGTCAATAAACGTGTATTAATGTTAGTAGGGAAACTGTCTATGTAAAAGCAAAGAAGAGGAAGAAGAAGAAGAAGAAGAAGAAGAAGAAGAAGAAGAAGAAGAAGAAGAAGAAGAAGAAGAAGAAGAGAAGAAGAAGAAGAAGAAGAAGAAGAAGAAGAAGAAGAAGAAGAAGAAGAAGAAGAAGAAGAAGAAAAAGAACAAAGAAGTAGTGAACTATTTTGTAACCTGATAAATTATTTTTAAAGGGATAATTATCCTCAAAATGTTAACTGTCTCATAAGTTAGGTATTTGTATATCAACATTTCTTAAATTTGATATTTTATTCATTAGCAATTAAAATACGCCAAAATCATTCTCATTTTTTTTCCCTTGACCCACACAGCAACTTGACACACTTTAGTAATCAGACCCACAAACCCAAATGATGACATGTGTTGGAATGAAATTTCTGTTGGGATATAAAGAAAAAAATGAGTGAAAAAGTAGTAAACGTCATATCATTCCCAAAGAAGCAGTCAAATTTTCAGCCAAAGTCGGATAAAAGTGCCTATTCTTGCCCGGCTGGTGTGGCTCAGTGGTTGAGCGTCGACCCTGCACCAGGAGGTCACCGGTTCGATTCCCGGTCAGGGCACGTGCCCAGGTTGTGGGCCTGGTCCCCAGTGGGGGGCGTGCGGGAGGCGGCCAGTCATGTTCTCTCTCATCCATGTTTCCATCTCTCTCTCCCTCCCCCTTCCTGTCTCTCTAAAATCAATGAAGAAAAAAAAAGTTTTTCCTGCCTCTTCTAATACTGAATTATCCTCAATAATCCTGGGACTTAGCTGAGGGAATGAGTGTCCGTTTCCATGGTTCCGTGTTGACGCGCAGACATCAAGTGCTGAAACCGTCCATTCCTAGTGACTGTGCGGGGTCTGCTGGGGGCCTCCTCCAGCTCAGCTGCCGTTTAAACCGTCCACACCGTTCCCCTAAAGTCAGCCCAGCAAACCCCCAGGTCTCAAATGTGTTTATAATGACTCAAACGTTTAAAACACCAAATTTATGAATATATTTCACCATTCTGAAAAAATTTTTTTGTTTTAGCTTGATTGTATCTCTTCTCTTATCTTCTGTTCTCTAAAATTCAGACCTTCCGATAGCCATAGAATTCGGGAATGGAATACCTGTCCCTCTTCTGAAATGCGACGTGAAAATAAATGATTTCATACTGTATCACAATGCATTAGATTGAGAGCTGTTTTAATAAGTTCTCCATAAACAACTGGAGAAACGGATACCGAGGGCACTCGAGGGAGCTGCACACGTACACACAGCTACCGCGCGGCTGCGTTATAACTAAAGTGAAAGCTATTTATGTAGCTATTCAGATGAGACATTAAGAC